ACTTCTGCTCCATCTTGCGCCACTTGTTGTACCAGCTGTCCTCGTCGGTGACGAGCGGCAGGTAGGGGTGCTCGGGCGAGCTGTCCTCGCTCGTGCTGCTCTCCACGCTGCCCCGCTCCTCCTCCTCGCTCAGGTAGTCGTAGCTGGGGGACGGGGCTCAGCGGGTGCAGAGGCACCCAGGGGTGCCAGGGCGCCCACGGGGGCTGGCACGGCGGTTTCCGCGGTGCGCAGGAAGGACCATGCGTTACCTCTGCGTGAACTTCAGGTAGGGGGTGTAGTCGATGACCACGGGTGTCTTGCCGTCCATCACCTCACCCTTGAGGCAGAAGCTGCACCGGCAGGGAGCGAGGGTGAGGAGAGGAGGTGGCACCCACGGGCGCCCGTGTGTCCCCAGCATCCCATGTGCCCCAGCATCCTACATGTCCCCAGCATCCCACATGTCCCCAGCATCCCACGTGTTGGGTGCTCCATGTGTCTCGGGCATCGTGTGTCCCTGTTGTCCCACCTGTCCCAGGTATCCCATGTGTCCCAGGCACCCTGCGTGTCCCTGTCCCCCTGCATGTCCTGGGGATCCCACATGCTGGGTGCTCCATGTGCCCCAAGCATCCCATGTGTCCTGGGAATCTTGTGTGACCCTGGTGCCCCACATGTCCTGGGCACCCTACATGATGCAGTCACCCCGTGTGTCCTGGGCATCCCACATGTCCCGGTCCCCTTGGATGTCCTGCGCATCCCACATTTCCCCGTGCACCTGAAGTCGATGGCGCTGAGCCCGATGAGCATGCCAGTGAGCACCGTGGACTCCTCCCGCAGCATGATGGCCCCGTCGTCGTAAAACCTCCTGCGGGGAGCGGCGGGCGCCGTGAGGCCATGGGGACACGCGCGGGGACACGCGGGGGGACGCGGGACAGCCGCTCACCGGGTGGTCCGCGTGTCCCGCAGGGCTGTGGAGATGTACTCGGACATGCGCTTCTCCATCAGCGCCACCCGGATCCAGGCCCGGCCCTGCAAGAGAGGCCAGGAGAGAGCCCTGCAGCTGGGCACGGCCACCAGCCCCACCACCCCGATGGCCGGTCCCCAGAGTGGTGCTCCTGGGCATGTGGTCCCCCCACCCCGGGAGTTTTTGTCCCCCTTGTGCCCTCACAGAGATTCACAGTTCCTGTGCTGTAGCCTTCACATAGGAGAAATCACTGCATCGGGGTGAGCTCATGGGCAGGACAGGGCCCAGGACTGCATGAGGGGCAAGGGGTGGGA